CTGCGCCATGCGTCACATGGTCCGCGATATTGGGTGAATACGATTGCGTGCATTCACCAAAGAAAACAACGGAGCGATCACGGCTCGGAGTCACGACAATGTTAAGGCGGGCGAGGCAATGCTGGGGGGAGTCGTTGCAGGTCCACGCACACGAGAAATTGATCTTCGACTGGATTGAGAGCACAGTATGTGGAAACGAAGGCTGCGATGGAATCCCATCGCCCTCACTGTAGTAAGTCGATGCGCCACCTCGTTATCTGTCCGTGGTATTGTGTTTCACGGAAGTTTCTGTGTCGAGTAATCGAGACATCGCATTAAGGCATGTGCATACGACCGTCCGCACGACGTTGATGGTTGAACGGCCAGGGTGTAAATTGATGCAGGTTCACGATCATGCATGAGATGCATTGGCTTGGAGGATGATCCGACCGTCGCAACGGGTTGGGGGTCCTTACCAGTTGTCCGGCAGCTGCGTCATCACATCGCGCCTGAATGCACCATGCGGTAAGTCAGGCTGATGACGCTTTGGGCGATTCCTCTGAGATGTCCGCGACGGCTTGTCGAAGTATCAGGACCACGTGGGACGACTGCGTTTGAGTACGCTGGCACGCACGACGGCTGTAACCTGACGAGGAGCTGGAGACCAACGGAGCGACAACCATCTTTCGGTCTCAAATGCGGGTCGACACAGCCAACACATCACCCGACAACTTGATCTGGTTCAATTTCCCATCGACCTGATCTGAGGGAACCACTTCGACTTCACGACAAAGTCCAAACTACTGGGGGTTTGTATGGGTTCTTCACACATGTGAAATGTCCAACACTTTACTCATCAACAACACGTCACGCCCACTAAGCGTCAAGCGAGCGAGAAGACATCCATCTGCTCGAAACTCTCGCGTTCGTGTGCATTTTCGAAAGCATTGCCCTTCTCCACGACGATGGTGAATCCATTGACTCGATGCATGGAAGACTATTGCCTGCCGCCATACGCCACATTCCACACAGACGACATCGTTCCCGCCGTGCGAACAGCCCTCGCCGAGTATGCCCTCGACCTGAACGCGCTTGAAGACGATTTAATGGACGCTGGCGAGAGCAACCTGTGCTGGGAATCTGTCATGGATCGCCTCGAAATCATCGACGACCCCCTTCGCCGTATCTCGATGTTTCTCGAGCACCTGCGGTCTGTGGTCGACTCGCCCGACCTCCGCGCGGCCGACGCTGAAATTCAACCCGAGATTCTAGCCATGAACAACCGTCGTGACCAAAGCGACGTGGTGTTTCAAGCCATGCAAAGGCTGCGATCCCGTGCGGATTTTAATACTGCCTTTACAACGGAACAACAGGTAGCGGTCATGGCGTCGATAGCAGCATGCTTTAACTGGTGTATCCCAGCGGATCTTGACGCGAAAGGTATTGCATGCCACCCTGAATGGCGCAGCACTCGGGCCATGCGTCAAGGAGCGCTTCAACGAGATCTCCGTTCGCCTCGAAACACTGGTATGACCTGTCCAGGCGATAGACTTTTACCGTGAACACCACCCCGCTACGTCAGAAAATGAAGTTCAGTGAAAACCTCATGGATGCCATGAATGCGTTCTCGCGCATCGTTCACGACAAGCACGAGCTTCAAGGCCTCTCGGATGCGACATTGGCACACTTAGCCCAGGTCTGCGCCTCCTGGCGATGCTCTCCTAAATGCACGGCCTTGTGCTTGAGTGCGTAGAACGCTGTAGCAGACGGACACAAAGAGGCCACGGCGGCCACCGGACCGTGGAAGCTCTCTCTCGAGTACCCAGTCTACATGCCAGTGATGAAGCAATGCAGCCATCGACACACACGCGAAATTCTTTTCCGAGCGTTTGTGACAACGGCAAGCACTCCACCGTTCGACAACTCGCCCGTCGTTCAAGAGATGCTGGAACTGCGTCAAGCAAGGGCTCAGTTGCTCGGGTTCCAAACGTATGCAGAGCTCAGTTTACAGGACAAGATGGCGCCGTCAGTGGAAGTCGTGGAAGACATGCTAAACGACCTTCGCGACAAGTGCTTGCCGCTATCCAAGGCTGAACTGGACGAAGTCGAAGCGTTTGCCAATGCACATGGCCACATCTCGCGGTTAGAGCATTGGGATACCGCGTACTGGTAAGGAATCTCCCACGGAGCCAGCCGCTTCTTCGTGATATGACATGGTGTGGACAGGTCCGAAGCGCTGCGAAAGGCTCGATTCGACGTCGATGACGAGTTGATCAATCCATATTTTCCATTTCCACGGGTATCGACACTGCTGTCGACATGTGGATGCCTTGACGCACTGCATTCATCAGGTGCTTGAGGGAGTCTTTCAGCTTGCATCGCACCTCTTTGGTCTTCATTTCGAGGTACGTCGAGTCATCGGCGCATGCTCAAAACCGAGTTGGACGGCGGTAGGCAGCGGATGGACAGGAAGAGATCTGGCATCCCGACGTTCGGTTCATCCAAGTTCGAGACATGGACGAGCCCGACACCCCAGTCGTTGGGCACTTTTACTTGGACCCGTACGCTCGACCCTGCCAGAAAAATATCGGAACGTGGTGCGATGCAATTGCGTATCGCAGCAAAGTCCTGCGCACGGACAAGGCGCCAGTCCGTCTACCAGTCTTTTGTTTGGCTTTGAATCAAACGCCGCCGGTATGCCCCCGTACGAGACTCTCATCTAACTGCGGACGACCTGCATTAGGTGGACTCAACGACGGGTTTGATGTCGATAGATGATGTGCTGTCGCTCGTTCACATGTTTGGCCATGGCTTGCGAATGCTGCTGACGACAGCAGACTACTCGGCCGCGTCATCCATGGACGCTGTCGAGTGGGACGCGATCGATATTCCGTCGCAGTTTTTGTCGCACTTCTGCGACCGCCGAGGTTCATGGCGGGGTGACTTGTCGAAGACTTGACGTTGTTGTGTCGGTAGAGACGATTCGAATGATGTCGGGGCACATTGAAACAGGCGCGCCGCTCCCGGACGACCTGATCGACAAGGTTCTGGAGGGACGAAAGTTTATGGGTGCAACTTCCCTCTTGCGGCAGCTCCATTTTGGCGCGACGGACATGGCCATTCACCACCGCTATGATCCGCAAGCCATGGACACCACCATCGACGATGTCCAACGCCGCATCACTCAGCAGTACGTCGAGCGCGTTGTTGGTTTTTTCCCACGTGCGATACGATAGGTTCTCTGTGCTCCCTCGATTCGACCACGACAAACTCCTGTGCAGTTTTCGACACATCTTTGCAATGCCGTACGCGGCGGGCTACTACTCGTACGTGCCGCAATGCGATCCTCCATTCCTTTTCGTCGTTCTGATCGAAGATGGATCGAACGGCTTGCAGGTACATTTGGTCTGACATGCTGGCGGCGGACGCGGTGTCGTGCTTCGACCCAACCGACAAGCATGAGTGGAGTGTGTGGGGGCGGCGATTCCGAGACTCCGTGTTGACCAAGCTGGGAATTTTGGACCCGATGGCCGCTTTCAAGTTGTTCCGCGGCCGCGCGCCTCGGACTGGCGCTCTTCTATCCCGATACGGACTGCAGTGAGCAGGCGCCTTGCTGTCGCGATTGTATTTAAGTGTGATTTTGTCGATTTATGCCAAATTTGTATTTTTGAGGGTTTAATGAGAGTATGTCTGGGAAAATGAAAATTGAAGAAAATTCCAGCATTTTTCAACATTCGGTTCGAAAAATACCAAGCATGAAAATGGACTTCAGCCATATTGGGCTGGACATTTCGTCCTCCATCACAACCCACCCGGGCAGAGAGAAACTTGAGTCCCTTCGTGAGTCAGAAAGTGAGAGTTTGACCCCCTCGTTCGAGTTTATGCCATCATATAGCGCAGATAGAGGAGCTGTGATCATCCACGTGCAGCCAGGCGAATCCTCCATCCCCTACGACTGAAGCACTCATGTCGAACCGCCCAGCAACACCAAAGTGAAGCAAACAAGTGTGTCGCTTACATGTACTGTCAAATTGAAGCAATGATTCCGTTTGAAGTTACACGCCGCAACTCAACAAGAATGTCCAGTGAGCAACAATGATTTCTGTCGCCACTAACATAATGGGACCATGTTGGTGCCGAAAAAATCCTGCCAGCAAACTGAAAGGGAAACATCATTTCCTCTCTCACTTATGTACTCACCCACATCGATTGTAGCCAGCATCTCCGGCAGCGCCGGAGAAGGGTAGATCAAAAGCTTTTGTGGCTGGGAATTCGGCGGGATTAGATTGGGGAACCTACCGTCGTTCGAACGAAGCGATAAAATACAGCAGGGACATTGATAGCTGCATACGTCACTCAGCCTTCGTCGCATTCAAAGTGTGCGTTTGTGTTTGCATATTGTTCGCTTCATCGCATGGATAGTGTGCGATTGGATAAACAACTTGTTATGACAACTTAACTGTGTCATTGCTGACATTGTAAATGGAAACATTGGAGTCAAGTAGTAAAATGCATTTGAAATACAGTGCAAATCAAGACACCGAAGCACCTATGTCGGAATAATATTCGACGCCATTCACATTCACGTTTGCGTTCCTCCATGAAAATGCATGAAAAAAGGATGCCTTCATTCCCACCGGCTGTAGTTCCTCGTCCATTGACAGGCAGAGTACAGTACACGCTGAAGCTACTATGACGAACCCGGCATCAGTCAGTCTGACGAAAACACATCGAGTAGTACTTCAGCCTTGCTTTAAACGCGTCTTCTTGGGTGTGCACCCACTTGACACATGCGCCTACTGGCAATTACGGTACGACGGGTTTACTTCCACCTCAGCCAACAAGCTTGAAAGAAAATTATAGTTTTGGCGAACTCCAGGGTGCACGGTAAAGTTTGGAGGTCTGTAGCTTCGCGCTTTCATGATTGTCGTAGCTACGTCGCACGTAATGGTGCTTTTGACGCAGTTGGCTTTAGAAGGGCTTCGATCGCCATCATGAACAACGCCATATCGATTTGTTGTTGATTGTGTGTTTGTGTTGTCGAGCTCGCCTGCAACCTTCAAAACGTTGGGTTAACTGTAAATGCGCCAGTTATTCATTGACAAATGAATGGTTTACAGTAAAATGCATCATGAGATATCGACGGGGTCGGAAAAAATTCCTTCGAAATCAATAACTTTGGACAACGAATTCAAAATACAATGAAGTACGAACTGTTTATACAGTACCCATATTTCAGTACCAGCCCCCTGAGGACGACAGTGCTCCTCTACCATGCCCTACTTCAACTTATGGATTGATACAGGTCAAAAGAAACCCAAAGGAGGAACGAATACAAATTCTTAAAGTTATATGTCATCAACTCTCCATTCAGTTATCGCGCCAATGATATTAGCCATCATGTAGTCTCGAATAGAGGTCTTGTTATGGATTGTCCATCTTTTGTGTCGGAGTTGTCTGCAATGCATGTTCTCAAATGTCTTGCTTTCCGTCGAAAGGCTTACCTGTAAGACGTTCCGTGGAAACATTATACTAAATCATGTTTTACAGGCATCTGATTTTGAAGGGGAGAGGTAATACAGCGTGGTACGTACAGCAGTACATACTTCGAAGATGGTCGGACAGCACTCGGCAACCCATCTGGTCCGAACCAGATCGGGTGCATCAACCCGCGTCGGCAGCTCCATCAATCGACGCGATGGTGAACCCACTCACGCGATGCGTCGAGGACTACTCGCTCCCGCCCTTCGCCCAGATGCGCGAAGCCGACATCGTGCCTGCG